AACCGTGCCGAGGACACTGTCCCCGCTGGCCTTGGGGTCCCCCATCTGTGTGTGGGGGGGTCCCCCTCTCCATCCCATGCCAGCTGCTGCCTCCAAAGGGCCCCGGGGAGAGCAGGGGTCCCCTAACACCATGCACTGATGCTCCACAGAGCAATGTGGGTTTTGCACAGCATTTTGCACCTGCGGCACATGGTAAAGGCACACATCCTCCTCTGGCACTGAGCAGCCACCCCATGCCTTTGCCTAAAGAGGGGGATTTGCTCCCCAACCACCATTTGGCTTTGCGGTGCAGGGTTTGATCAGACCCTGCACGTGCTCAGCCAAGGGCATCTCCCCACGGGCATTGCTGCCCAGGGCAAGATTCGGGGAAGTTCACACATGCCAACCCACACCTTTCCAAATCCTACCGCTCACACTTAGCAGTGTTGCCTCCTCTCCACCCCAGCACTCAGGCAAAGGCATTTAGAATACAAATTAAGAAATCAGGCTTTTAGACACTTCCAGGGAAAGTGGGGAAGGGTCAGCAATCCCCCCGCTGCATCCCATGCAGGAGTGTCAGGGGACACCACACCCTTTGCACAGGGCCCCTCTGCCCACCCCGGGGTGCCCATGTTCCTGCTGGCGTGTCACCAGAGACCGGCAGCTCTGCACTGGGAATCCCCCAGGGCGGAGTCCCCAATCACCCCCCGCTCATTTTGTGGGGGAAAAACACTTAATGGCAGGGCATCACAGACAGGTGCCATCCCGTGCCGTGGGATTTACCTGCCCTTGATGACACACCACACCTGTCCCCACAGGAAAACACCCCTCCACCTTCCCACGCTGGAAAACAGCTTGTCAGAAGCAACATCCAGGCGCAGAGCGGGTGTCAGGGAGAGGGTGTACCCCATCCCTCAACATGCCACCCCCTCCCCGTAAGTCCCGCACCTACCGCTGGGGCGAATCGGGGTCGAAGCAGGTCCTGGCCACGTCGGTGGCCCGCGGGTCGCAGCAGTCACCGTCATCGAAGTCGTCCAACATGTTGTTACACTCCATATGGCAGACACCATCACGGCGCTTCCAGGAGAAGCAGCGGCCAGGGCGGCGGCAGTCCCCACCGTCGTAGCCAGTCAGGGGATGCTCACACTCGGGGTCGCAGCGCTCGTTGCCCACCTTGCTGGGCTCACAGCCCAGGAGGACAGCGCGGCGGCGCAGTGAAGTGTTGCGTACCTCCAGCAAGCTGAGCTGCCAGGAGATGTTGTAGGGTCGGAAAGCTTCGCTCAGCGCCCGGTGTTGCCGCCAAACCTGCTCCCGGCTGACTGTTGGCCGCCCACCGCCGTCCTCCACCAGGTTCACCACCCGATACCGCACCGCCTTCCCGCTCCGCAGTGGCCAGTGCTGGTTGTAGTGGGAGACCAGCTCCACGTTATCACAGGCAGTCTGCCCACAGGCAGGGGGGCCCAGTGGCCGCAGGATGGGGGATGGCGGGGATGGTAGCACCTGCTGCCGGGGGAAGGCACCCTCCCGAAAAGGCACCCAGTGCTCCTCTGGGATGGCGAAGCCAGCGGCCAGAGCCAGTCCTGCCACCCCCCCAGCCACCCCCTCTAGGAAGGGACGCTGGAGATGGGGTTGGGACAGGGCGCCCTGCCACAGGGCCAGCCCAGCCAAGTGTCCCCGGAAAGCATGCGCGGTCCCCCAGGCGTCCCCCCCCAGCAGTAGTGTGCGGCAGGAGGCCATGAAGGCACTGTGCAGGGCGCCCCCCTGCCCACCGGCACGGCCCACCCGCGCCCCATCCACATAGCGGGCCATCCACTGCCCATCATAGCTGGCGGCCAGGTGGGTCCACGCCTCGGGGCGGTAGCGGTGGTAGGCGGTCACCTCCGTGGCAGTGGCCGCCCGGTCCGTGCGGAGGGAGAAGAAGAAGCGGGCGTCCTTCTTGCCGCCGAGCTGCAGGGCACGGATGCCCAGTGCCCAGCCCTTATCGCTGGCCGTGTGCGAGCAGTTGTCGAAGACTCCTGCAGCGGGGATGGGGATGGAGATGGAGAGAGAGGAGAGCTGGTGAGGGCCAGAGAGCATCGCTGCTCCTCCCCGGAGCATGAGCTGGGTCCTCGGTGGTGGGACAGCTCTTGGCAGGGCTGTGGGGAGTCTCCTGCTGCCACTGACACGGGTAAATGAAGGTGGCCAGAGGCTGGGCAATGGGTGCTGCACCAGGGGGGACACCCCAGCCCCCATCCAAAATCATTTGGATGAGCAGGTGGAGTAGCCAGGAGGGATGGCAGAGCCAGAGAGGCGGGATGGAGAGGGGCGGAAGAGCATGGATGGGAGGAGAGGCCGAAAAGCGAGGTGTTTCTGAGCTGCTCTCCGTAGGAGCCCTCTTGTGGGACAGGATTAAAGATTAAGCTTTTTATCTGCAGGCCAAAGCTTTTAAGAATTAGAGCACAGCAACTCAAAGCAAAACAGCCTCCTCTGGGGACTGCTTCCCCAACAACTTCCAGGCAGATTTACAGCTCGCCTTTATGCTCCAGTTTTCCTCCCAGTCATGCATCCAGCATGGGTGGGTGAGGATCGGAGGGGGAGACAGAGGGATGCGCTGCCTCCAGCTGGGCGGGTGCACACCTCAGCCCTCAAAGCTCTCCCAAGCATAAATCCATCCCCAGGAATAGCTTTGGGCTCAGCCTCTCCCCGTGTGCCCAAGCATGTTGCAAACCTGTGTTTTGGGTGGGCAAGACCTGGAGCTTTGCTGACTTTCCCCGAAACTCAGGCTGCTGAGTGCCCATGGTCGAGAACCAGAGGCTTGCAGGCACTGAATGCCCTTGGGAATCAATGGCCATAAGGCACTTAAATACTGGCAAAGGGAAATGGGCCCGCTGCTTGAAATAAATGCTTCTGGGCTCCTAAATCACCACAGCCGGGACATTCACATGGGTCATCGGCTAGGGCGAGCGAGCTCAAAGGTACGCTTTGAGTCCTACCAGTGGCATCTCTGGGAGTCCCCCTCTCTCCCGTTCACTGCCCCAGCAAATCACTTCCAGATGCAACGGTGCCTCGATGCTGCCGAAACCTGCTGCCGTGCTCGGAGGCCCTTTTCATCTTCCTGCTGCAGTATTTCTTAGGCTCCAGCCTGCTTTTCCCTGCCGCATGGGTTTTCCAGTCCCTCACTGTGCCACTCCCATTGCATGCACTGCCTGCCCATCTCTGTAGTGTCAAGGCATCATGGGCCAAAACAAGGCGCTCCTGCCCTGTCCTGCTACCTCGCCTCTCCCTGGGGATGCTCAGCATGACACGCGGGGGAAACTGTATCTACCTCCAAGATTGCAAAGAGGCCAGCAGAGAGAGACAGAGGCAGAGAGGAGCAGGAGCTCCAGGAGGAGCAGGACCTCCTGGCTTTCATCCAGGGGATGTGACTGAAGCCAGGTTACCATGACCCCATGTCTCCCCCGCCAGCCCTCGTAAACACATCATCTACGCTGCTGGCAAAGGTCACAGTCAAGCCCCGCTGCACCCCAGGAAGATGCGCCCTTCACTCCATCCATCCCTTTCACCAAGGGCAAGATGGGTGGTGGCCTCTTGGCTCTCCCATGGTCGTAACCACCCAGGGCACGGATCCCTGCCACCGCTCACTACAAAGGCAGCCACGCACAAATGGGCGGATGGGCTTTGGTCAACTCTTGTTTTCTGGTGGATTGCGAAAGGGAAGCAGAAAGACCAGAGGAAGCTGACAGGGAGAAGCCAAAAAGCAGGTGGCAGGCAAAGGAGCCTTGCAGGCATGAGAAGGCAAAGCTGGAGAGTACTTCTGGGCTGGGTGCTGGCTGAAAGGTGCTTAGACCTGCACACTTCAAAGCCATCTTCTAGTATTTGGTCCTCACTGGGGTCAAGGAGACAGGCCTTGGTACCTCGTCTGTTAAGAAAACTCATGCATTTCACCTTGTAATGATTTAGAGCACCCCAAATTTGATTAAACACTAAGGCAAAACTGGGGCAAACAGCATCAGGGGTGGAACAGCCTTCTGGGGTGAGTGTGAGCTAGTGTCCTCACAAACCCATGCTGGAGCCAAGCCTGGAAGTGCCTGACAAGTTCAAAACTGGCCAAAAGAACCTTAAGCGAGCCTAAAACCAGGTCTGGAGACTTCCTCAAAGGGATGCAAGTAAGGCCAAGGTCAGGTCTACAACAGGGGCTGGAAACCCACTAAGGCAGCAGCTGGTGCTTCCTAGACATGGCCAGGGATGCCATCTCCAGTGCAGCCACAGAGCATGCAGGCAGAGCAGCATGTCCCGCAGCTGGGAGCCACTGCAGAACGGTGAAGCAGAGCCATCCAGCACCAGCTCCTGACATCTCCAGAGGGCTTCCACAAGAAATCATCAGGGGACCAGTTTTTGGACCCTGGAAGGCCCTGGGATTTGCCAAGGAATTTGGTATTTTGTCCTGGGGTGACCCACCAGAAAGGGAAA